ATGTTGAGAACGAAATTACGAAAAATATTCCCCTACATAAACAAACAAGTCGTGAAGGAGAAAAAGAATCAAATAGGTTATTATTATTATTATTATTTTTGTTGTTGTTGTTATTGTTATTGATATTATTATAGTTATTATTTTTAATGCCTGTACAACTAGTTCTACGGTTACTATTATTTTATCGTAAAAAACAGTGGCCACTACTATTACTACTACAACTGCTGCTACTATTACTGCTACTACTACTACTACTACTGCTGCTGCTGCTGCTACTATTACTGCTGCCACTACTACTACTACTGCTGCTACTACTGCTACTACTACTACTACCACTACTACTAGTACTACTACTACTACTACTACTAATACTACTACCATTACTACTACTAATACTACTACCATTACTACTACTACTACTACTGCTGCTGCTGCTACTATTACTGCTGCTACTATTACTGCTATCACTACTACTACTGCTGCTGCTGCTTCTACTACTACTAATGTAACAGCTTTTAAATCTCGTTTTAAATTCCTGGCCACAAATGTTTTATTTTTTTGAAAAGTCGAATTCGTGGAAAAAAATAGTGTGAGAATCTATAATGTTGCACTCGGTTTCATCATCGTCGTCGTCGTCGTCCTCTCCCTCTTCATCATCCTCACCATCATCATCATTATTACCATTATTTATTTTATTGTTGTGTTCGTCGTCATAATTTTTCATCAAATCAATTGAAACGTTCTTGCAACATAATAGGAAATACAACTATCATTACTATTACTACTGCTGCTACTATTACTACTGCTGCTACTACTACTACTGCTGCTACTACTACTACTACTACTACTAATAATAATAATAATAATAATATAAATAATAATAAACCAGACGATGAGGATCCGTTGAATGTAGACAGTCTAGCGACAACTGTTCGCTACAAGCCAGAATGTCTAGACCATCTCTGCCAGACGACCAAATTCACAAAGAAAGAACTTCAGATCATGTACAGAGGTTTCAAACAGGTTAGGGGTGTGAAATACTACCGGGGGGTTACCTAAGTTAGAACCTCATAGACCTGTTTTACAGATTTGAGGGCCCCCTCTGCTATGATAGAAGGAGCCTCTAATTAATACGATTGCTAATTAATATTTAATGTGATTAATAGTATATTTAGCAACATTTTTGCTTGTTTTTAATAAAAAATTGATTGGAAAACTAACAATTGCTCTACTTTAAATCCATCTTTGAAGACATCAGTAGAGGTTTGTTTGAATTAGGGCTGTGACTCACTAAGAGGAGTTTGCCTAGTTTAAGAAGTCATATTTACGTTGCTTTTAGGAACTGTTTTTTTTAATTTTAATCGTGTAAAATAATTTTCAAAGTCACCATTATCATTCTCACCAAGAACAGCAACATCATCATCATTACCAGAAACAACAACAACAACATCATCATTACCAAGAACAACAACATCATCATCATCATCATTACTAAGAACAACGACATCATCATTATCACCAACATCATCTTCATCACCAACATCATCATCATCATCACCAACATCATCATCAACATCATCATCATCGTCATCATCATCAGGAGTGCCCGTCTGGGATAGTGAAGGAAGATACCTTCAAAGAGATATACGCCCAGTTCTTTCCACAAGGGGGTAGAATTTTTTTGTATCATTATCATAACCATTTCCATTATCACTACCATTACCACCATTATCATCATCATCATTATCATCATCATCGTCTTCATCATCATCTTAACTTCACCATATGCAGACTCCAACCTCTACGCTCATTACGTCTTCAACGTGTTTGACCAGGATAGAGATGGAACAGTTAGCTTTGAGGTTGTCATCACCATCGTCATCATCATCATCATTGTAGTCGTCGTCATCATCATCATCATCATCATCATTGGTGTATCATTACCATAACTTTCCTCCCACACAAAACCAGGAATTCGTGTCAGGTCTATCGATATTGGCTCGCGGAGACAACCATGATAAATTATTGTGGGCATTTTCCTTATACGATCTGAATAGGTAATTTTTTCATTCGTTCGTTCATTCGTTCATTCGTTCGTTCGTTTACGTATATGTTCGTTCATTCTTTCGTTTGTTTGTGTGTTCGTTCGTTCACTCGCTCATTAATTCATTCATAATTTGTTCATCCATTCATTCATGCATTCATTTGTTTTCTCATTAGAGATGGAATGATAACCAGAGATGAGTTATTCGATATCGTTATATCGGTGTACGATCTGATCGGCAGCTGCTCCGAACCGGTCGGCGATGAAGTGAGCACTGCCCGCGACCACGTTGATAGGATATTTAAGGTTCAGATGTTTAAGATAACGATAATGATGATTGTCGTGATGATGACTGTTCATTCATTCATTCGTTCGTTCGTTCATTCATTCATTCATTCATTCATTTATTCAATCTTTCTTTCATTCCTTTATTCATTCAATCACGAAGAAAATGGACACGGATAACGATGGCGTCATTACCATTCACGAGTTCATTCAAGCCTGCGAAAAAGTTTGACCAAAATTATTTAGAATCAACAATTATGACTATAATTATATTCATAATTTTGAATATCATTCCTTCGTTCATTCACTCATCCCTCCGTTATAATTATAATTATTATTTTAAATTATAACAGGATGATAGCATATCAAAATCATTGAACGTGTTCGATACAGTTCTCTAAATGAAAGACTACCAAAGACAAATAATAAGAATAATAAAAACAATACACACACACACATAGAGAGAGAGAGAGAGAGAGAGAAAGAGAAAGAGAGAGAGAAAGAGAGAGAGAGTCAGGGAAAGAGATAAACCTATATATATTCTAGTATCCACGTATCATACCATTATACTATACATTTGCTCAGTTATGTATATATATATATATATATATCATGATATAAATTATATATCAACTATATATATATATATATATATATATATATATATATATAATATAAGTAGTTATTGAGACAAATTTTCGATTATTTAAATAGAAATTTTGATTGATTGATTGATTGATCGATCGATTGATTGATTTGATTTTCGTGCGAGGATTCGATTGAATGGTTGATTGAATGGTTGATTGAATGGTTTACGATCGTCTTCTTCTTCTCGCTTTTTCTTAACTCGTGTTAGACACTCTTTTGCCAAATCTGATTTTGCTTTTTCTGGTCCTTTTCTCTGGAACTCTCTACCTACTTCTCTGACTACTTCTCCATCACTTGCGAAGTCCAGAGCGGATCTCAAGACCCATCTGTTTTCAAAATTCATTGAGGAGTGCTGTTGAACATCGCGGAAATAGTGCTTTATAAGCTAATTGATTGATTGATTGATTGATTGATTGATTGATTGATTGATTGATTGATTGATTGATTGATTGATTGATTGATTGATTGATTGATTGATTGATTGATTGATAGATTTGTTGGTAGATTGATTGGTTGGTTGATCGATGATTTATCATTGATATATTGTTAAAAAAAACTGTTATTTATTGTTATATATTGTTATATCAGTGTAGCTATCGTTATATTTGTTGAAAGTATTGTTAATATATCTATACATTATATACATTTAGTGGTTGTATAGTATTTTAATCGTTTTTTTTTACTCTTATTATACATTCATTTAATTTTTAACAATAAAAATACAAATATGTTATATTTATTTTAGTTAAAAAATTAGATAAAACAGTTTGATAATGAATTTATCAAAATATTAGCTGGTTTTTTTTAGGTATATTTATATCCATGTATATGACAATTGAATAAGAATTGTTACAGATTAAATTTAGAAAATGAAGCGCTCGATATTTATAATATCAAACGTAATATCATAATATTTCAGCCAATGGCATGAGAATTCGTTTCAGTTCACTTTTAAATGTATAAATACTCAAATGTTTTTCTCAAATAATTTAAAAGTCAAATTTGTCATTCGGAAAATGTCGGTATTAATTTTCATAGTTAATTTTTAATAATTTAAATAATTTATTTTCTAATTTTGAAATAAATTCCAATTTTATTAACTTTCATTGCCTTCACACATCCAGTTAGATAAGTTTACTACACCAGTGGTGGTCTTAAAAAATAGATAAATAAAAATAAAAAAATGAAAAAAGCGAGTTAGGTCTGTGTCTAATATTAGTTTAGCTAGTAGAAGACAGTTGAGAAGTTAGACACCAAAATTTATAGACTAAAGATCCCCCGGAATACTAATTAATAGACAGGTTTATTATTTTATGATTTATTTACAACACTTAAAAAAAATTTCAAAATTTCTTACTTAAATTAATATAAATTTTTTCCTACAGAATTCAGACTTCTGTGTGACAAAACAGCAATAATAATTAAAAAAGGAAGACTTATAAAAATAAAACGTATTAAATAAGAAAGAGAAAATAACTAAAAAAATAATATGAGTAAAACAAAAGTTTCCAGAAAGTTCTTTTCAGTTACCTTCTTAGTAATCATTTGCTTAACATACACCCATTCTGAAGAATTCATTTATGATAATAATAATAATGATAATGGTGATGATGGTGGTGTGAGGAATTCAAATAATGATAATAATATAGTTATTGAAAATGATGATGTTGTTATTGGTGGGTACGGTGTGAGTGATAATGAGGGTAAAATGAGTGATAATAAGTTAAAAGGGGATGATGGAGTGTTGCCAGGGGATCATCATGATCTTCATCATCATCATGATCATCATCATGATCTTCATCATCATGAACATAGTGAGGAAGATGGACTGACTCACCATGGTCATCATCATCATGATCATCAGCATGGTGATGATAATGATGATTCCCACCACCAGCAACATCATCATCATCATCATGGTGGGGACATGTACCGGAAAGAGTTTAATGAAAATCTACAAGAAAGTAATAATAATAACAATGACAATGCTCATGAAACTTTCAGAGATCATGAAGATGATGTCACTCTAATCAACAATGATGCTGATAATGTTAACCCAATTGAAGTAGCAACAACAACAACAGCCAATCAAAATGTAGATGCTAGTCATCATAAAGAAATTTCGACCAATCATGGGCAAGCTGTTGTTGATGATAGTGATGATAAGACAGCCAATCTGAACTCAGAAGGTAATATCAACAACAACAATAATAATAACAAAGCTGATGACGACGACAACGATGATGATGGCAGAGATGACATTGATGTTAGCGATGACTTTGAGATTTTAGGCTTTCCAGAACCATTTGGTAAACTAGATATGAGTGAAGTTGCAAAGGTGATTAAGAAGAAAAAGAGGGATGGTAACAAGCTATCTACTGAGATCATATATAAGCCAGATGATAATGGAATTGTAAGTATGTTTGTCTGTGTTTGTGTGGTGTGTGTGTTTGTTTGTGTGTGTTTGTATGTGTGTTTATGGGAGTGTATATATGTGTGCTTGAATGTAACAGTAGGCTGGTGCAATTTTGATGTGATTTGAGAAATTAATGGCATGGTTTATTGCTTGATTGGATATTTGTTTTTCTAGAGAAATGAATTGAAATGATGCAAAATCTATTTATTTTAAATTAAAAAACCTGCAAAAAACAACAAACAACTTTTGTAAACCAGGTCAAAGTTCAAAAGTACACACAGACACGCGACCCAAACACCGGTCAGATAACATTGGATTTAGAAGAGGACACCATTGTACCTTCTTGGTCATCATTTGAGTCACCATCATCATCGCCATCGCCTTTGGAATCATCATCGTTATCGTCTTCGTCATCATCATCATCCTATGCTGATGATGTCAAGAAGGATGATGTTGTTGACGATGCTGGTTTGTGAACTGTTCATTTGTTTGCTTGTTTTTTTGTTCGTTCTTTCATATATTCATTCATTCGTTTGTTCATTCATTTATTCGTTCATTAATTCTGTTTGTGAGTTATGAATTGATATTTGTTTTACTAAAAAGTCTGCTACTTTTTGTTTAATGATTTTGTTACTTTTAACATTTCGGTTCTTCCATTCTTTCGTTAATTCATTCATTCAACCAATCATTAATTCAGTCACTCACTCATTCGTTCATTCATTTATTCTTTTATTCAGCTGAGCAGTTATACAAGCAGGCTCTGCTTTTTCTCAATGGAAGCAGTCAATCAGAGAAGAAGTAATTGAACATTTAGATAACATGGCCATAAAATCCAAATTAAATTTAATTAATTCTTCCTTTCTTTTTGTCTTCCTTTGTCTTTCTTTCATTCAGTTGTTTGCTAATTCATTCAGTCATTCGTTCATTGTTCATGTTTTTTTCATTCATCTTTTAATTGGTCTACTAATTAATTGATTGGTTGATCAATTGGTTGATTGAATAAACTGATCGTATGAATTCATTGAATTCTAACTTGAATTCTAATTCTAATTGATTCATCTCAATCAACCAATCCCAATCAACCGACCGACCGACCAATCACAGAGCCTATCAGATACTAGTTCAGGCAGCGGACCTTGGTCACGTGACTTCCATGGAGTTGGTCTCTATGGCCTATTTATTCGGGAACCATCTCAGGCAGGACGTTCAGAAGGCCAGAGAACTTTTCGAAAAACTTTCGAATCTTGGGTCCGCTCGAGGACAGCTGGTTGGTTGTTTGGTCGGTTGGTTGATTGGTCGGTTGGTTGATTGGTTGTGTGATTGATTGGTCGGTTAATTGGTTGTGTGATTGATTGATAGAGTTACTTGTTATAGTAATTTTTTAAACTCATCAACCAAGGGCTTGGGATTTCTTTATACAACCGGTCTAACTGTCAAATCGAGCCAAGCTAAGGTCTTAATCTTTAACATTATTTTATTATAACGATAATTATTAAGTTATTATTACTGTTATTACTTTTATAATTTATGCGCATAATTATTAGTTTTAAAATATCCGACCAATCAGAGCTTAGTCTATTTGACCTTCAGTGCATTTGGCGGTGACCCATTGGCTCAGATGGCGCTTGTTAGTACTGACGATGATTATGATAATGATGATGCTGTTTTTGATGATAATAATGATTGCGATGGTGGTGATGATGATGTGACGTCATCGTCACTAACTGACCAATTAGGGCTATCGCTACTGGAACGGGATTAGTGTTGAGACGAGTTGCGAAGCAGCCTTGAACTATTATAGGAAGGTTGCTACTAAAGGTCGGTTGACAGATTGGTTGATTGATTCATTCGTTCATTTGTTTGTTCATTCATTCATTAGTTCGTCCATTCATACCTCCATCTATTCATGCGTATAATTTTTGATTGGTTGATAAATTTATTAATTTTTTCATCCATTCGTTTGTTTTTGAGTTCACTCAATCATCTATCCTTTATTCATTTTTTAATTCACTCTCTCATTCATTTACTCGCCAGTCAGTTAATCTATCATTCATCCATTTCTACTTTCAGTCGCTCAGGACTTATCCATCGGAGGAGGAACTGTGGTGCATAGGGTGAGGCTGTACGACGAACTGGAATCACAGGGACTTCAAAGTGGGCTGCTGGACGAAGATCTCTTGCAGTACTATCAGTTCCTGGCCGATAAGGGAGATGTCCAGGCCCAGGTTTTTTGAGGAGGGGGGGGTTATGTTGGTCGTTGTCGTTTCTCTAGCTGACATTCAATTTTTTCAATATTCTCACATTCAGCCATTCATTCATTCATTCGTTTGTTTGTTTGTTCGTTTGTTTAGTTAGTTTATGAAACAATCAATCAGTTAATTTATTACGATCGAAATTATGATCATAATATATTTGTATGTTATAATTATGATTCAAATGATGACCGCCGTTTAAAATATCACAGCTCGGTCTTGGTCAGTTATTTTTTCAAGGTGGTCGAGGTGTTAATGTCAACCATCAAGTCAGTGATGATGACGTAAAGATGATGATGATTAATTACTTGCTTAATTATTATTAATTATTTATTTTTAATTAATTAATTAATTTTAATTGATCATTTCATTGACTATATAATTTTGCCAGATGGCTCACTACTACTTCACGCTGGCCGCCGAAGCTGGTAACGCTAACGCCAATGCGTATCTCGGAAAAGTTGGTTCATTCATTCATTCGTTTATTCGGTCTTTCATTTATTCATTCTTTATCCGTCCAGCCATTCACTATTAATTTTTTTCACAAATTTTTTCCTTTGTTCAATTTTTCATTCATTCATCGGCACGTTTATCCATCCATCCACTAATTCAGATGTACTTGGAAGGGACAGCAGTGACGAAGGCCAACAATGAAACAGCATACGACTATTTTAAGAAATCAGCTGATAAGGTCCTGATGATGATGACGATGATTGTGGTAATGATGATGACGATGATAATGGTGACACTATTATCATCATCATACTACCATCACCATCATCATGAAAATTTATTTATAACTACCCAGGGAAATCCCATGGGTCAGAGCGGGCTGGGACTAATCCATTTTCATGGCAAAGGGGTGGACAAGGTGCTATTATTATTATTATTATAATTATTATTGTTATAATTATTATTATATGGTCTAGGATTATAAAGAGGCTCTGAAGTATTTTACGCTTGCGGCCGATCAAGGATGGGTTGATGGGCAGCTTCAACTTGGAATCATGTACTACTGTTAGTTGATTGGTTGATCGATTGATTGGTTGGCTCGCTAGCTGGCAGTCTGATTGGTTGGTCGATTAATTGCTTGATTATGATTGGTTGGTCGTTTCATTTTTTTTGATTATTCATTCATTCAATCATTGATTCATTCCTTTATTTATTCATTTATTCGTTCGTTCGTTCATTCATCTGAACAGCTGGTGTTGGGGTGAAGAGAGACTTTAAAACAGCACTAAAATATTTTACTCTGGCTTCACAGTCAGGTAAGTTAATCATCATCATCATCATCCTGATCGTCATCATTATTACCTTCAACCTCATCATCGTCGTTGTCATTGTTGTCATCAGGTCACGTGCTGGCCTTCTACAATCTCGCCCAGATGCATGCAAGCGGAACAGGAGTGGTTAGGAGTTGTCCCACTGCGACTGAGGTCAGTTAGTGACTCAAAAAGTCTGAACATTGATAGGCTGTAAGGTCAAAAATTACTCACACAATCACCATCAGTCAATTACACAAAAACACATCTGACCAGCCGCACACCATCTGCAACCAATCAGCTCTTCAAGAACGTAGCCGAGCGCGGTGATTGGTCGGATATGTTGATGGACGGACACGCCCACTTCCACAAGGGCCAGTCAGATGAAGCTTTCGTCACCTACCTCCTCCTTGCTGAACTGGGCTACGAGGTGGCTCAAAGTAATGTCGCCTATATACTGGATCAAGGTGGGCGAATGAATAAATGGAAAACGAGTTGAATGAATGAATAAATGAAGGAATGAATGAAGAAGTGAATGAATGAATAAGTGAATGAATGAATAAATCGGTGATTAATTTTTTTTAATTATTTAAAAAGGTCTCAGCGGTTTTTTCGACGAGAATGAAAATTATCAAAGGGCATTCCTTTACTGGACTAGAGCTGCCCAGCAAGGTTGATTGATTGGTTGGCTGACTGATTGATTGGTTGGCTGACTGATTGATTGGCTGTTTGTTTGTTGATAAATCGACTGATTGGTTGATTGACTGGACGATTGACTGATTGCTTTATTAAGAATTGTACAACAATTTGTTCAAACTGTGCGAACTAGGTTACACCCCGGCTCGCGTTAAGATCGGCGACTACCACTACTACGGCTACGGCACGACCCCAGACTATGAATCGGCGGCCAATCATTACAGGTGGGAGGAGCTTATGTAATTTTCGAGTGATTTGATTGGATGTTGAGAGTTTACTTGTATGGTTCCTTTCATTCGAGTGATTGGATTGAATGTTTCATGTCATTTGATTGGATGTCGAAAAATTGCTGGCATGGTATGGATGTAAGTACAGTTGATCAATCACTTTTTAATTCAAATCGATCGCACATTCCATCAAGCAGTAAATTCGTCATTATCAAATCAGCGAGTCAAGCAAATTTTTAAATAATCAATCGACCGACCGACCAATCAACCGATCGACCAATCAACCGACCGACCAATCACGTAACAGGGTAGCGAGTGACCAGCAGCACAACGCACAAGCCATGTTCAACCTCGGCTACATGCACGAGAAAGGACTCGGAATGAAGCAGGTCCGTTGGTGGTTGAGCGGCTGATTGAGTGATCGAGTAAATTGATGAATGAATGAATAAATGAATGGATGGTTGAATCATTGTTCAATTGATTGAGTGATTAAGTTAATGAATGAATGGATGGTGGAATAATTCATGAATTAGGCTCATTATCAAATTAATGAATGGATGAATAAACGAATGAATGAACAACCGTCATCAGGACATCCACCTGGCGAAAAGATTCTACGACATGGCAGCTGAAACGAGTACTGACGCCGCCATTCCTGTCCTACTCGCACTGAGTAGGCTCAATGTCTTCTTCATGATTGAATACCTCAAAGACGTTAGTTGATTCATCGGTCAGTCGATCGACGGACGAACTAATTGGTTTATCTTTCTTTCCTGTTTCTCGTTCTTTCTTTCTCTTTCTCTCTCTGTAAATTTATAAATTACAAATGCACACAAGTACCCATAAATACATACAGACATTCAGTACCTACCAGCAGCTATTGGACCTGCGCCTAGAGACGCTAGGGCCCGACTGGGATTTGTACATTTTGGCTTTACTGGCAGTCCTTCTCGCTTTCATCATAGTTATCAGAAGGATGATATGATGATTATGATGATGATGGTGTCAATCTCAATTAATCAATCAATCAATCGACTAATTGATCGATCGACTAAATTTTTAACATCAATCTTCCTATCTTTCAATCATAAACTGAATTCAATTTACTGGTTTTTACGATGAATTGATAAATAGATTGATAAATACATTGATTTATTCATTCACATTCATCCATCCATTCATTCATATTCATTCAACACATATATTCAATCAATCATTCATTCACTTATTTATTTTAATAAAATTTGCTCTTATCTGTCACAATTTACAATGCATTTGTACGTACGAACACACACATATACACACGCACATATATATATATATATACAATTATATATATATATATATATACATATATATATATATAATTAGGGATGCACCGGATTCAGGTTTTTCAAATCCGGCCGGGGCCGGACTTAAAATTTAAAAACCGGCCGGGGCCGGATTTTAGTTACCATTTTACATACGTTAGTTTATGCATAACCCATGTTATAGCATAAAGAAAATTGTCGAGCTCATCTCACAATTAGTGATGTTAATATTATGTGTCATGTATGCACGTGCACAAGTTATTTTACACAAAGATCAGCTTATAATGTATGCATAATCCATGTTATAGCACAAAGAAAATTGTCGAGCTCACCTCACAATTAGTGATGTTGTTATTATGTGTCATGTATGCCTAGCCTAACCTTTAACATACCATGTTCTTAAATAATGCGATTATGTATATATATATATATATATATATATATATATATATATATATATATATATGTAGCTTTATGATCCGTCATATACAACTATATAGTATAAACACGTGCACAAGTTCTTTTACACAAAGATCAGCGTATAATTTATGCATAACCCATGTTATAGCACAAAGAAAATTGTCCAGCTCATTTCACAATTTGTGATGTTGTTATTATGTGTCATGTATGCTTAGCTTTTAACTTATTGACATAAAATTAATTGAATTCAATGAAATTTTTTTTCTATTTATAACATTTTTAAATGTCGATAGACGCTTAAATCCGGCCGAGGCCGGATTTGAAAAAAAAGCCGGATATTGGCCGGAGCCGGGGCCGAACTTCGGTGCATCCCTATATATAATATCCAAAAATGTAAACGTATATATGATGTATATGATTTATATATATTTTTTTACGATTCTTAACACCGAATGTTTTTTCAATATATATATGTGTGTGTGTATGTGTTTTTTTGTATGTGTAAGTATGTGTAACAACAACAACAATAATAAAAGTAATGTGTTGGTATGGTTATTATTATTATTATCGTTGTTGTTGTTTTTGCTGTTACTGGCGTTGCGAATTGAATTTTAATTTTGTCATTTTTTTGTTGTTGGTAGGAGGATTTGGTTAAAATATAAAATAGAGTGTAACAGTTATAAAAAGTAATTTAAGAAATGAATGAATGAATGAAAGGAACAAACAATGAATGAATGAAAGAATGGATAGAAGATTAATTTAAGTAGACAGGAAAAATGAACGAATTAAATAGTGAATAGACAGTTTAACGTTCATACGGCATTATCAGACGGTAAATAGCGGAGCGAAAATCATTCGAATGTAAAAACGCATTGACAGAATGGATGAATGATTGAATGAATTAATGAATAAACGAATGAGAGATCGACTGAATGTACAAGCAATGAATGAAAGAATGAAATGAAATGTTACATATGGACAACAATACTATAATATTTTTCCAGAAATAAATTTCTTATGCATACAAGCCAACTCCTCAATCAAATATTTCTCTATTTCAGCATCATCATCACCAACAACGACGACATCATTATCATGACTGCCAACATCATTATCAGCACAGCCAGGATCATTATCATCAGCGGCTATCGAAGAATTGTTGGTATTTTCTTCTTCCATGTTAATTTTTTTACTCTTGTTTTGTTTAGTATTTTTTAATCTGATCCATTTTTCGGAGTCTTTGGTTACAACGACTACTTCCCTTTTCCTGTTTTCTAGAATATTGCCAATGACGACCTGAATGAATGAAAGAATGAGCGATTAATTGAAAGAACGAATGGATGAATAAATGAATGAATGAAGCATTATTTCTTCAAACGTTTAATTATAATAATTTCAATTAGTATACTAATCAATCAATCGGCCATTAATCAGTCAGTCAATCAATCAATCAACCATTAATAAATCAATCAACCATTAATAAATCAATCGCCAATCAACCAGTTAACTAACTTGATGATTGTATGTATCAAGGGCTTTATGACATTTCTGTAATAACAAACTTGGGTCTGTTTCTAGCTGCATGAGTATGTATGTGAGTGTGTGTGTGTGTGCGTATGTATGTAGAAATTCACTTATTCATTCACTCCTTCATTCATTCATTCACTCTCCCATTCATTCATCTATCATTCATCCATTCACTTGAAACAAAATGACGAAGGCTCATGGCAGGATTTGATTCATTTATCCACCCATCCATTCGCTCATCGATTCATTCATCCATCATTCATTCATTCATCATGCATTCATTTATTCACTCACTCACTCACTCACTTTAAAAGAAACGACGAAAGCTCTAGGAAGGATCTTACTGGTCAGGGGTTTCAAAAATTTCGGCACAATTTGCAATGACAAATGCAATGGACCAGATGATGATTGGATTTTATGCTGGGGCTGGTTATGGTAATCAATCATCCAACCAACAACAAATCAGAGAATCAATCACATGATCAACCAATCAGTTGACCAATTAACCAATCAATCAATTAATCAATAAACCAACCAATCAATCAACCAACCATATCAACAAATGGAATGTAAAAATCGGAGACAGCTGCTGCCAAGTAGAGCATTGCAGATTCCATACATTCGTTTAAAAATTCAGAAGTAACCTGGTTGGTTTGTTGTTTAATTGGCTGTTTGATTGATTTAGTGAATGAATACATGCATGCGTGAATGGATAGGTGAATGGATTGATGAAAAACTTTTTAAATTTTTTTTGTATTCAATCAACATCAACCAATCAGACAAATTTTATTAAATCAATCAACTAACTAACCAATCAAATCAAAACTAGCCAGTCAAACAAACCTTCAAAAGATATAAATAATCGGAGAGAGTAGTAAATTCGACATTTAGTAGAGTTTTATTTTCAACATGCAGGTGATATTTTGCAAAACACATCCCTAACAATCCTTTAAATTCACTTTTAACTATTTTGGTGGATTTAATTTGATAACGATTTATGATCAAAGATTGAAGTGATAATCAACATCATCATCTTTGTAGCTTACCTGTCACGTCATCTTTATCATCACAATCATTTTCATCATCACCATAACTTACTTTTAACATCACCATCATCAGCATCATTAGTGGTGAACAGTTCTAGAAAGTTCTTGTGTTGGAAATTTCTATTGTAGGGCTGCAAAGAACCTCGCCTGTGCAAAAAGACCACTGCATAGCCAAGCCCTAAGAAATACCTTTATAATAAATCCATTAAAAAACATTATTATTAATATTATTATTAATTATAAATAAAATTATTTGAAAATGTTTCATTTCTTTGTAATTTCTATAAAATTAATTGATAAATCTAGCAGGTCGCATAACGTTGAAAAATGCGGAAGCATTTATTATAATTTATCATAAATCAATTTAATTTAATTAAATTGATCATAATGTGCAATGTTATAACATTTCAAGTCAGAATATTATATCATAATTTCATAATAAATCGTTTAACTCAGCTGAGGTAGAGCCTCTGGTTCCAATGCTAAAGTTGTCAATGTATCGAACTGTTCGACTCTCTAATGGCACAGTGGTACCGCCCGACTTTGAAATTAAAACTTCAAACAGTTAGTTAGGATTAGGGAATAAATAGGAGTTGCGTTACTTAGTTACTACAATCTACTCTACATTCTACAATAATTTCTGCAATCTAAGTAACTAATAACAATTATCACTGCTTGCATGATGGTGGTGATGATGGTGGGAGTGGTGATGATGATGATTTTATTGGTGTTGATAACGATGTCGGTAGAAATAGGTTTATTAATTTTTTATTTTTCTGAGGTTTCTTCTGGGCTTTGAATTTTTTAAAAGTATCAGACCACTAGTAATTAGTACTTAGTAGTAGTACCTTAATAAATAATCTAAAAGCTAATCAATCGATCATTGATATGATTAACATGCCATTGGTGTTAAAATCTATCAATGTCAATGGCATTTTTAAATTTTAATCAATTAATTAATTAAAGTTTAATTAAGGCTTTTTTCTTTTATAAGTTTAAATTAAAAGCCTAAGTAAAAAAATTTAGAAAAACTTAACTGAAACCAACCGTAATTAAAACAATTTTTTGATTTATCATCTGGTTATGCCGTATGAACGTAAAAATCTTATCGGCCGATGATTTTAAAGTCAGATTTGATGAAAAATCGTGCTGAAAAAATTCATCGCAATCCATTTTTAAATTTTTAAAAGTGAAACAGCGATGGACTGTGTCAAAAGTAAAACACGAAAATCATGTATCATTGAAAAGGGGTTGAAGGCCTATTACACTTTACCAAAGTTCAAAAAAGCTAGCAAGACACAAACAGCGTATATATATGAATACGTGCTAAACCACCCATCACACACAATGCAAGTAATACTTGAAGATCCTACTGTCGCATTCGAACCCGCAGATTTCGTAAAGAAACCAGGCAATCTTAACCACTGGCCCAATTATGCATTAGTCTAACTCTGATTTAACCCTGAACATGACCTTGACCCTGATTCAAACCTTTATAATCAAAATTTAAAGTTTATTTGTTTAGCAAAGGTGTGTGTGTTTTACTATGTATTTGTGCGTTTGTATGTGTATAAATGTGTATAAATATAAATATATATATACATATATATATAAATATGTGTGTGTGTGTTTGTGTCTGTGTGTGTGTCTGTGTGTGTGTCAGTTATTTTGTTGACGTCATTTAATACCAGAATTATTTTATTTGATAGAAATATAAAGCAGATTGTGATATATATATATATATATATATATATATATATATATAATGTGATTATATATATATATAATGTGCGTGAGTGTGTGTGTAGTTAAAAATAAATTTAATTCCTTCAAGATAAAATAGTTTCAAATGAGATAGAGCGAGTTTAATCAAAGAATGTTTATTTGAAACGTGTGTATGTTTATGTATGTATGTGCGTGCGTGTGTATGTATGTGCGCGTGTGTGCACGTGTGTGTGTGTGTTGTTAATGTTGCTAATTAGTTAATGTTGCTAATTAGAGTCTGATTAGTCGATAAGTTGATTACTGTTAACAGTCTAAACTCAATTTTTTCCCATTGCTCCTATTATCTACTGCCACTCTTTTTACTGCCAGGTTGTTTATTTAATTTTATTTTTCAATGCATACATTTTGTTGTCGAGATTTTTTTTCTCGTTTTGTATAATTTCTCTCATTTTCACTGTCTGTGTCTCTTTCTCTCTCTCTATCTCTCTATCTATCTATCTCTCTCTCTCTTCTCTCTCTTTCTCTCTCTCCATCTTTTCCATCTTTCCAAACATTAATGAGTGCAAAAGTGTTAATTTTCAAATTTTCCTATTAAAATACAGCTTTGTACGCGCACTGTATTGTATTAACAGGGCAAATGTGGAACTGTATGTATAAGATGTCTGGAATAGTCTCGTTTCGTTTCAATTAGTTTCATTTCGATTCGATTGTTGTTGTTTTAGTGAGTATGTTGCACTTGATGAATTTCTCGTTTGGCCGTTGGTTTAAATGTTACACTGAAATCAATTGTAATGTAAAAATGTAGGTGTTTGTCTGTGTGTGCATGTTTGTGTTTGTGCATGTTTGTGTGTGTTTGTATGAATGTGTGTGTGTTTGTCTGTACGCTTATTGTAAGTTAAGTTATGCGTGTACGATATGGTATTTTCATACATCCATTCATCCATACATATATTCAGACATCCATATATCTATCCATCAATTTATCCATCCATCCATCCATCTATCCATCCATTCATTCTTTCATTCATTCGTTCGTTCGTTCGTTTATTCATTCATCTATCATTCATTCAAGACATTTTATTGTTTTTAATTTTAGCGTTAATTTCATGTTTCATCTACATTAGATTGTACTTAGATTAATATTGATAATACATCCACTCGTTTGTTCATTCATTTGCTCATTCATCTAAAATTCATTCATTCATCCATCCATCAGTTCATCCATCCATTCATTTAAAAATTAAAAATCCAAACAATACAATACTATTTATTTCTATTTATAAAAATTGAGACATTACAAAAATAAATAAATAATTTATTCAAAAAAGGGGAGAGAAAATAATATTAAAACGGCTGCAAATTTCCAAACAAAAAATAAAAAACATACATAAATTACTTTTAATAATTATAACGGGACAAGAATGTGTGTATATATATTATATATATATATATGTATATATATATAAATATATTATATATAAACTATTATATATGTATATATATGAACTATTTTATATAATATATATATATATTATATATAAACTATTTTGTATATATATATATATACGAACTATTTTATATAATATATATATATATATATATATATATTCTCTTCTGTTTTTAATCAACGACTTGTTATTCACTAATAACAATAACAATAACGTGGATATTATTATTATTATTGCTATGATTATGATTATTATGATTATTGTTTTTGTGGTCATTATCCATAATAATAATAACAATTATATATATATATATATATATATACATATATAAATATAAATATATATTTATTATTTAAACTAATCTACCATCCATCGACGATAATAAGAAGCATTCTTTAGATAGCTGACGTAAATAAATAAATTAATTTAAAAAATATGCGTGGAAATAAAATAAAATAAATCTCCGTATAAAAATAATATCTGGTATCTCTCTCTCTCTCTCTCTTTCTCTCTCTCTTATATATATTCTCTTATATATATATATATATATATATAATATATGGGAAGAAGGCATCGTTTGAAACAACATGCAACATGCAAAAACATACATTCTATTGAAATATCGAATTTCATATATGTTTGTTTGTTGTTTGTCTGTGTGTGTCTGTGTGTGTGTTTGTGTGTGTGTGTGTGCCTTTATTGGCATTTAAAATTTTTTAAAGTATAAACAAGTTATTATTACAGAGCGAAGTTGGATAATTATGTGGTAAAATGTTAAGTTTAATAACAATACATTAACACGTACGTATATAGACATACATACACACACACACGCACGCACACGCACACTTAAACATACATTGATTTAATCATGGGCTCGTACATACACATATATTCAAACACACACACACCACACACACACACATACATGGTGAACATTGTCAAGAATTATTCAAAGGCTTATTAATATTGGTCATGTTGGTGTTGCCATAGAAGTTAATTTGAAACTGAATGCTGTGTTGTTTGTTTGTTGATTGTGATCTCATTGTTGTTTTTATGTATTTGTTGTTGGGATGTTGACGTCATTATTGTTGACATTGTTAGTGTGCTTGTTTTATTATATTTTCATTTCTGTAATTCTTGTTATGGATATCATTACGATTGTTACAACAACGCATTCTAATTTAATCTATGTCAGATACTATGAGTTGCTGGTTTTTCCGCTGTTTCCTTTCTTTGGCAGCTCTTTGTTGCTGCTGCAGTTGTTGTTGCTGCTGCAGTTGCTGCTGTTGCAGCTGCTGCTGATGAAGCAACTGTTGCTGCAGCAACAGCTGTTGCTGTTCTAGCTGTTGCTGCTGTTCCAGCTGCTGTTGCTGCTCCAGCTGTTGCTGCTGTTCCAGCTGCTGTTGTTGAAGTTGTTGTTGGTAGATGTAGTTGTGTTTGCGGGCAGCTTCTACATCTTCCATCTGGTTGTCCTCACTGCGTGTTCCACGTTCGTGTCGGTAGGTAAAGATTTTGAGTTAGTTGTTTGATTAAGACCAAGTTGTATGTAAATCAAATATTTGATATTTTTATTAATAAGAATTACTTTTAGTTAAAATTTAATATTAAATAAATAAACAAATAATAAAATTCGCGAACCATCTTCGGTTATTCTGCTCTATTAAGGGCGTCCTGTGCGTGCTGCTGTACAGGGCCGAATCATCCTCGGCTCGACCTTGCATTTTCAAGGTCGTGTCTCTGCAGCCGGGTCTTGGCGGGCAATAATCTGGCGGTAGAACAGCAGCAGCTGGTTTTTCGAGCCCCCTCTCATCGCCGGAGCCCTTCCTAGATCGAATCGTCGAACGAGCAGTTTCCGAGAGATTTTCATCAAATTTTTGACTTTTTTGACTTTTTCTGTCCTCTTCCTCCTGCTCGACAGCTTTCATTTCGTCAGCGAAAATAACGGGCACGCCGCCTTTGCTCTGAGTTGAAATGGCTTTTATTAGCAACACTTTCCGCTCTTGACTCTTCTTCCTGTTCTTGCGACAGCAGTAGATGCAGACGACAAGGACGATGATAAGGATGATGACGGCTGCCACGATGAAGCCGATGATCAGGTAGAATAATTTCGAGGAATCAACTTCACCCTCGTCTCTTATGACGGTATGTGTGGGAGGGGGCAGAGTAGCTTCTGGAGTTACTTCTGCCTCTGGTATTTTCGTCGTTGTTCCTTCTCTGCTGCCTTTCACTAAGGACATATGCGAGCACGGACCGTATGTCTTGATTGTAACTTCTTTCGCTTTTGGGAAGTATTTTAAAAATTTGGCGTTCATCGTGCCGTCTGTGTTTACCATTTTATCTATAAACTCTTTAAGTAAATCTTCATTGCAAGCATCGTCCGACGTGATGTCCTCATCGTCGAATGTGACTACCAAGGAACCAGGTTCAATGTTTAAAACCCTGATCTGGTGACCTTTTATCCCTTGAATCAAATCTCTTCTTATGACCAACCTGGTTGTAACATTATCACGCCAGTACGTATCAGCATCTTCGTCCAGCACAAGCACTGCTTCGTGGTTCTTCGACTCGTAATCTCTCACATTAAATTGGTATATAAAGTTTTTAATTGCTTGGTCAGATTTTTCGCTGTAAATCAGACTGTAGTTGCCCTCCTCCCCTCGTAACGGAAGGCCACCGATGAGGTAACTTTTTCCACTCTCTCTCTGCTTTTTCATAAAGTGTGGAATCTTTTTAAATTTGAGAGTTGTGTTTGGGTCAAAGTGCATTATTTTTTTTTGTATAAATTTGCCAGAATGTGTATAAATTTCTGATAGATGTATATCTACTGGTACTGGCCTTGGTTTTCTTGTTGGTTTTAAAGTCGTAGCTGTTGTTGTGGTTAGGGTTAAAGTTATTTCGTCTGGAATGTCTCCAGACCCTACGATGTCATCTTTCAAAACGAATTTCTGTTGCATACTGTAGTGCGAATGTCTGTTTCTGCTGCTGCGTGCCTGTCTTCGTGATCTCCTCGGCTTCTGATTCACAACGTACCACGACAATACTTCCATATCGTTCACTTTTAAGCTTCCTAGAGTTACATTTCTTTCCAAATCCATCAAATTTTTCATGTGAAGCGTTTGAACGCTGCCACAGCCAACAACCCACCACAAGCTGACAAAATTTTCTTCGTGAATGTTGTCCATTTCTAGATTAGTTGGTACATCATCGTCATTGATTACTTTTTCAATTGAGTTTAATTTGCTTTTGAATGATTTCAACTCGTTTAACTGTTGCCTAAATTCTTTTTCACTAATCAAATCTACAGCAGATTCTTCATCTCTACCATGACGGCTAACGTTATCTCTAACTTTAAATTCTTTTTTTCTGTAATAACCATTTCCGCGTGATCCCAAAACGTTTGCTCTGCCGGAAATTAGTGAAATGGTTTCTAAAAATTTAAGATCACCAGACTGTTTTAAACTGACGGAGTTGGGATTTAAATGAAACATTTGGGATAATTTTTTTAGGAGATCAAGTTTTTCTGGGACCGAAAGTGTGTGGTGTTTCCTATCCAGGACTACAACGGATTTCGTGACGGGAGTTCCCGCTTTGTCGCATGTTACAGTGGGCAGATGAGTGTTGTTATTGTTATTGTTGTTGTTGTCGTCACTAATGACGTCATTCTTCGTAATGCCGTGGATGGTTTTTTTGACAAAAATTGTGAAATTGCCGATTAGTTCGACCTCGTCGTTATTATTATTATTATTGTTGTTGTTATTGTTGTTATTTTTACGAATCACATTTAATTTTTTGCAGCCCCAAACTTGAAGAGTAACAGAGCCACCTATCAAATTCTGATCATCAGCAACTCCTTCTATGATTCGCTGGCCGTCGTCAAATACCAACCAATCAGGTAGCGAGGAGGAGTTAACTTGTGTGACCTTTACCTGTTAATTATGAATGAAATTAAAAATAAAATTACGACAATTAAAATCAATTATGACGATTACAATAATTTGCAAGTATGTATTTATGCGTATGTGTGTGTATATATATATATATGTGTATATATGTGTGCGTGTGTATGTGTGTGCGTGTGTTTATATACGCACAAAGAACGATTTCTTGACATGGTACCAAAGAAATAAAAACAGAACATCGATAAGAAATTTTTCAGAAAAACAGGGCGATAAAAAAATCGTTTCAAGAAGGAGGAAAACCAATAGCGATCACGTATGTCTGAGCGTGTGTGCGTGTGTGTGCGTGCGTATGTGTACGTGTGTGTGCGTGCGTGTATGAAGTATGTGTGTGTATATTATACGTAAGTACATGTGTGTATGTTATGTATCAATATGGGAGCTTGCACGAATGCATGCATATATGCGTTTTATAGTCATTGATAAGTTAGATCTGGATTTAACTTTGCTGAGAGAAAAAGTAGGAGGAGAGAGAGAAAGAGAGAGAAAGAGAAAAAGAGAGATATAAAAAGAGAGAGAGAGAGAAATATATTACAGAAAAGCAGATATAATGGCGGAATAATAAAATAAAAGTAATAAAATAATTATGCAATATACTATAGGGATAGAAAGGTAGATAGACACGGAATAAAAGAGAGAGAGAGACAGACAGACAGACAGAGAAAAGAAGAGAGAGAGAGAGAGAGAGAGAGAAGTGAGTGATATAATGAGAAAGTAACAATGAAATTGGCGATGGATCGGGTCAACTACTCAGTTATTTTCATATTTGATGACGTCTATGACGATGGCTGACGTGATGACGACGATACTGATGATGATGATGTTGTTGGTGATGGTGATGATGATGATGATGATGATGATGATAGTGATTGTGGTGATGATGACGCCGATGATGATTATTATATTTGTGAAATTGATCGTTACTTAACTGTATTCAAATCGGAGTAACGAATAATTTATGAATATTTAAAAATCCATCGATCCATTTATTCATTCATTTACTCATTCATTCAATTAATCAATCAATCAATTAATCATTTAATCATTCATTCAATCAATCATTTTTTCATTCAATCATTCATCCATCCGTCTATTTTAACAATATCAACATTAAAAACAAAATTAACGAAAAATGAACGAACGAACGAACTAACAAACGAATGAATGAACGAATGATTGAATGAATGAACGCAGGAATGAACGAATGAATGAAAGAATAAATGAAGGAATGAAGGAACGATAAACATCCTTGACATAAACGTTTCTAAAATGAAAACTTAAGAACGTTTAAAACTTTACAAACAAGTGTATAACGCTTAGGCATAATATAAACAAAAACATTATTATTATTATTATTATCATTTTATTATTATTATACATCAATATATATGCTAACATGAACATTCATACGTACATACATACGTACAAATGCATACATACATAAATACATACATACATACCGATTTGAAGTCATCCAATTTTGGTAGGTTGTATAAAAACAGTCTGGCATATTCAACGGTTGAGTCAGGAAGAAGTTTATTATTATTATTGTTGTTGTTATTGTTGTTGTAGTAGTTGTTGTTATTATTATTATTGATGGAAAGTAGATCGCTGTAAGAAGGGGATGAATGAACGAAGACGCCAAACTGTAACATTGCTAATATCAACAACGTCGTTTTCACCAGCTTCATAGCGTTATTAATTGGCAACCACTGATGATGACGATGATGGTGGTGGCGATGATGGTGAGGATTATTCTTTGATAGTGATGATGATGACGATGATGCCAGAATGACCGTTTGGTCATCTTTTTGTTCGTTTGAGTAGCTGTGACAAATGGGTAAACAGATAATTATCACCATGCTGATGTTTTGTCGCGAAGAAATGTTAAATTTGCAAGCTTATTTTTTTATGTAAAGAATCATCATTCATTCTTTCATACCTTCATTCATTCATTCATTCATTCATTCATTCATTCATTCATTCATTCATTCATTCATTCATTCATTCATTCATTCATTCATTCATTCATTCATTCATTCATTCATTCATTCATTCATTCATTCATTCATTCATTCATTCATTCATACATACATTCATTCATTCATTCATTCATACATACATACATTCATTTATTCATTCATTCATTCATTCATTCATTCATACATACATTCATTCATTCATTCATTCATACATACATACATTCATTTATTCATTCATTCATTCATTCATTCATTCATTCATTCATTCATTTATCAATCCATCTCTAAACTCGTTTAATCATTAAAAAATCCATCCATCAATTGAAAAATTTTTTAAAGATAAATTTACTCAATTAATTAATTCAATTCTTAAAATTTTTTATATCTATCAAGTCATCATCGTCGTCGTCATCATTCATTTATTCTCTTTTCTCTCTCTTTCTCTCTTTTTTTTCTCTCTCTCTCTCCCTCTCTTTCTGTCTTTTCAAAAACCTTTTTCATTTTTAAATCAATGATAGATAAGAAAAAAAATATTCATTTCATGTACTCTACTAACCGCTCAATCATTCCGATAGATGATGATGGTGATGATGAATATCTTTATTATTATTATTATTATTATTATTATTATTATTTATTATTATTATTATTGTTTATTATGATTATTTATAAATATTTTATTTTTTAATAATGCCGTATTATTTATAAGGCAGGGGAGGTAGTAGTTGTTGTAATTAATAATTTATCTTCTAGCAATTATTACAGCATGTGTTAGTTTAGATTTGAATAAATATAGGAATAATAAATTGTTTAATTATTACTTTTTAAATTTTTATTATTATTAATATTAATTATTCGCAACTTGAAAACATTCCTTAATGCCAAAATATTCTTTCAAGCTAAGCGTCTAACCTCCGCTTTATATACATATATATATATATATATATATATATATATATATATATATATATATATATGAGTCAGTATGTGTATATATAAATATATATATATATATATATATAATCACTTTTTTTATTAACTTATTCTTCAATCAGTCACTCATTTACTTATTCTTTCATTCATCCAGTCATCAAATTATATTTTGTCATTCGTTCATACATTTCATTTGTTTGTTAATTAATTTGCTTGTGTGTAGTATGGACGTTACTTTTGTTTTGTTGTTGGGGGCATATTAGCTCAGTCGCGGAGAAAATTTGTTTCTATCCATTCATCCATCCATCTATCCATCCACCCATTTATTCATTCATTCATCTATCCATTCATCCATCTATTCATTCATGCACCCATTCATTGAATTTTTAAAACATTAGTAGCAAACTAATCCGTGAGAACTGATATATTCCTACTCAACTAACTAACTTAACTAACTAATTAATGTAATCAAAATTAGATAAAAGTGGTTGGGAGAGAAAGAGAGGGAGATAGAGAGAGAGAGAGAAGGGAGGGAAGAGGAAAACTTTAACATGAAATCAATTCAAAAGGCATTATCTGGCAATATAACATTCACGATACTATTTCCATGGGTGTGTCTGCAGTTTCATTCATTCATTCTTCATTCAATCATTTTTTATTGATTGATTGACTCACTCATTTTTCATTCGTTCGTTCACTCATTAACTAATTATTTTTAATGATTGATTGATTCGTTAGCTCATTTATTCAGTAATTCATTTCTTCATTTATCAATCCATCTTCTATTGGCTCATTAATTTATTCTTGATGATATTCAATTTTTTCAAATTCATTTAAGGCCTCTGGGCAGAATGCTTCAAAAAATCCGCACACGCACACATACACACACACACACACACAACACACACACACACACACAACACACACACACACACGCACGTAAACACACACACACACACAAACATTCCTTTGTGATGTGTTTGTATGTGAAGATAAAAAATTTTGACGACACACATATGTGTATTGAATGAATTTGAGAGATAAAATGTAATAGTGGTAGTATTTGTAGTATTGGTATTACTACCGTTAGTAGTAGTGGTTGTAGTTGCAGCAGCAGCAATAGCAGCAGCAGTAGTGGTAGTTGTAGTAATTAATAATAGTAGTAGTAGTAGTATGCGTAGTCAATAAAAAAATTTGTAAACTTTTGTAAATTTATTTCATTTACTTTTTGTCTTCGTCGTAATCATCATCATCATCAACATCATCATTACCATCTTCTTCTTCTTCACCATCATCGTCATCATCACCATCTTCCTCTTCCTCATCATCATCCTCAACAACAGCAACAATCATCATCATCACTACATTCAAACGTCTCGACATGATAATGATATCGTCAAATACCAAAACTACTCCAATCTTATCGATGCGTGTGTATGTTTGTGTGTGTGTATGTGATTATGAGTGTGTGTGCGTGTGGGTGTTTATGTGCGTGTGTGTGCGTGTACGTGTGCGTGTCTTTACGTTTAAACGTTAGCATCATTCTATCATGATAGGCAGCAATACTAATTTAAGTTTTGACAAAAAAGTTTGCTTAAAAAATTTGGGAAAACATTATTTATCGTCTTTTATTTGGTTTTTGTTTTTAATATTATTATTACTTAATTGTCCTTAATAACAATATCAATAATATTATTAGTATAATATAATAGTATTATTATTATTATTATCCAGTATTATTTAAATTCCTTGCTAAATATTTTTTTTTTCAAAAAATCAATTTCATTTTCATGGTTCAGTATCGTCAGTAAAAGTGTTTTTTCCTTTATTTCCATCTCTCTCTCTCTCTCTCTCTCTCTCTCTCTCTCTCTCTCTCCTCTCATAATATTATTCTCCATAATGGCTCACTTACTTAATTGTTATTGCCACTTAAGAGAAACGAATGGTTATGAGTCGAGAGTTATTTATAGTTCTGTAATTTTTATTATAATTTTAATAATCACACACACACACACACACACACACACACACACACACACACACACACACACACAC